TATTTGCTAAAAAATGACCTTCTGATATTGTCTGGGGTTTCGATTATCAGTGCCCCTCAGAGCTCTTTTACTATGTGCTGGGGGATGGGCATGGCCATGCGTCAGCCCAAGTCTTAGATGCTAGAAAAGACCACGCCAACAATGGAGTCAGGGGCTGTGTAAACTAGAATTGAGTCCTTGCTCTCCGGGAACCTGAAGTAATTATCTTCATTCAGCATCCAGAGACCTAAGAGGCAGCAAGATAAGTTGGTTGCACTGGTTGGCTGTACTAGGAGGACATTTTAATCAGCTTGACTGTCAATCACCATGACAGCTTACACTCAAATATCCCACCAAAAGGCAAACATCTGGATCACTCAGTCACACTGAAACATTAGGAGCAAAAGAGCTGTCATGTTCTAGGAATTTTTTTAAAAAAGGAAAAAAAAAACTATTGAAAATTACCTGCATATTTTTTCTTAATTTGTTTTAAAATCTAGACACCCATTTCTTCTATAATCAAAATACTAACTTTGTGCAAATTTCCCCAAACTAAAATTGTATAGAACTGATGCTAGAAACACTTTACAGGTTTTTTTTTAGAACAACATTTTAAAATTCAGGTTCAAGAAGTTTCATAAGATGTAGATTCACAGATGTGAGAAATTAATTAGCTCTGCTCAGAAGCAATGGTTGTGAGCGTTTTGGGTTTTTGGTCTGTCTGTGCCTGGACTGGAACAGGCTGTAACAGGAAGCAGGAGCTGTGAATAATGTGAAAATGTGGGTGGAGGGTGTTTGAGTCTGTGTCTGAGTGGGTCCCTGACCATGGCTCACTCTTGGGTGACCACCTTCCTCTCCTCAGCAGCCAGCACCCTCCAATGGGACCTTGAGCAGCTGCCACTGACACCTGTGTGGCTGGTGTCCTGCCTCTTTAGTTCTGGTATTGACAAAGAGTGTCTACTTGGTCCAGGTCTACTCAGCCTCCCCTGAAATTTTCCACTCAGCCTCAACTTTTGGACTTTGGTGTTCATCTCTTCATTGTTCAATGTTAGCCAGAGTCCTGCTAAGTTGGTTTAGCTGGACATCCCGTCCTCCATGTGTGATCACCCTCGATACCTAATCAGGTTCCTCATCTCCCACCATCCCCAGGTAATGTTCGATCACCCTGGCCTGCCTTCCTCAAGAATACTTTTAAGTTATTTTAGCCAGAATTCCCACATACAACTGATGCTTCTTGGTAATTTTCTATCCACTGACCCCCACCCTGCTACCTGCCTATAAATTCCCACTCGCTGTATTTAGAGTTGAGTCCACTCACTCTCCCCCAACCCCAAGAGCCCATTGTAGGATCCCTTCACCCTCCAAGATGGTCTTTAACATGTATCATTGAATGACTGTTTTTTTAACAGCACTGGTTGTCTTTGTGGCTGTGGCAGAATGCTCAGTCCTCACCACCTCCAACCACCACAGGCCATCTCACTGCCTGAGACCAGCCCAGAGGGACTAGAGGTCTCTGTATATTAATCTCTACCACTACATTCTCTCTTCTGTTCAGGCACCAGGTCTCAATGAAATGGAATTTAAAGGAAAGCTCAGAGTTTTCTTCATTATAGGCTCACTCAGTGATTCTCAGACTCATAAAAATTTGCAACTAAGTGTGGCATATTAGAAAGTGCTCATTAGGAAGTCTTTTAGAATGAACAAGGCATAGCTTTGACCCCAGCATCGTTCTAAGGTGTTCCTCGTTGGCCACATTGGAAGATTCTTTGGGCAGGGACGGACTTTCATGCATTAATGTGATATATGATAGTGGATGACTGTTTGTTGTTTTGTATTAAACATATAAATGGTGGTCAAGGTGGAATCATTAAGCACTTGTTGGTTATACGTGGGTGAATCTACCCTTTGCCTTTAGTGAAATAGCTAAACCAGAATCCCCAGCTGTGAGTTAGGAAGCTCCCTCTAAACCTTGCCTGTTCCTCCCTGCTTGCTCATTACACCCCACTTCCCCATCCCCCATGTCGATTGGAAGAAACACTTTTGGGGCCACATTGGCACAGTGGCTTATCACTCTAGATAAGAACCCTTATGGATATTGGATTAATCTATTTTGATTTATATAAAACATTAATAAAGTTCATTGTTTATTTTTAACTTATAAAATGCACATTGGACTTTCTAATTCTGCTATCCTCAAGCCCTTTGGTTCGGGCATTACTGACCCACTACAGTCATTTCTTGGCAGACCTCTCCCAGTCATTCATTCATTAATTCATTCTATGAATTTTCAATGTATTAAGAATTCAGCCCGGCCGGGCTTGGCTCAGTGGTTGATTGTCGACCTAGGATCCAGGTGATCAGGGTTCGATTCCCGGCTAGGGCACATGCTCGGGTTGAGAGCTCGATCAATGACTCTCTCATCATTGATATTTCTCTCTCTCTCTCTCCCTCTCTTTTCCTCTCTCTGAAATCAATAAAGATATATTAAAAAAAAAAAATTCAGATTTTTCTCACTCTCCAAGTATCTGGTAAGAAATAGAGTAAGGTAATTTCTCAGGTTGTCTAGCACACTCTGGCTTTCCCCTATTGTCTCACCACTAAAAGATAAACTGGGCACACTACCCCAGAGTCTACAGGGGAGCCTTGGGGCATTTCTTGGGTAGCTCAGCATGAATTTGGCTCCAGCAGGGACTGGAGCTGATGTTAGCACCATCTTGTTTCTACTGCTATTGGCTTCTTAGAGGAAAGGTCCATAGCTGAATTCACACAAAAAATCAGTGAAAATAATTCCAGTTCCAACCTCCACACAAATACCTTGTCAGGGTACTTGTTACTGCTCTCACTGGTACCCTACGCAGGTCACAAAGTGTTAGTCAAGTTAATAATGATGATGTTGCAACACTAACTAAACATTTATTAGTCAACTATAATTATTGCCTGTTATGTTAAGTATTGTAAATAGAGTCCCTTCCAAATCAGCAGGTTCTGCAATCACGGATTCAAACAAACTTGAATAGAAAATATTTCTTAAAAAAAGTTATGTTGTTGCTGACGTCTACATAGGCTTACAATGGTTGTGTCTGTACTGTGTATACCCTAAGTAATATAGCATAACAACTATTTACATGCATTTACATTGTGTTGGGCATTAAAAGTAATCTAGAGATGATTTAAAGTATTTGGAGTATGTGCAAGGTTATATGCAAACACTGTGCCAACCCTTTTATATAAGGGACTTGAGCATCTTTGGATTGTGATATCCTTGAGGGTCCTGGAAGCAATCGCCCCATGGAGAATGAGGGACAACTCTATTATTTTAGTTAAATCCTCACACCTGTTACTGTTTCCATTTTCCAGTTGTGGGAATGGATCGCTATTGTTAGCACACAGGAGTCACATTCAGGACTAGAGCCCTTCATGGGCAATGCCATGCTATGCTTTTTTCCAACATCACCAGGGTCCCTTACCTGTCCCTGAAAATGCACTACCAACCTCCTGGCCTCTTTCTAAGGCACTACTAGGTGGGCCTACATTGAGAAGCCTGTCCCCACAGCAGCACCCCGAGTCCTCCCCTGCTTCAAGTTAGCTCCTCACGTTTACTTTCTCTTGTTGTTGGGTGAGTCTCTAAGCAAACTGAGCTCCCCCGAGGGAGGGAATTGGGCCCTCACCTCCTTCATGCTTTGCAAGTTCTCCCTATACAAGTCCCTGTTGTCATTTTCAATTGACTGAGGAAATTGGTCTCCTGATCTTAACTGGCAAGGACCCCTGGTTCCTGCTTAGTTGTGAGGAAGTAAGTTTCCAGAGGGAGAGGCAGTATTTTACTAGCTTTTAGGGGTTTTTTGATTTCTTAGGGGAGCCCGAGGGCTTACTCAGCCACCCAGCTCAGAGGTAAACATTCCCAGGCTCACTGCCTAAGGGCACTCTGTCATTTTAATGAACCTATTTACCAGGTAGGAGGCAATTTTCTTAAAGTTGCACAAAGTTCTGTTCAGTCAAAGATAAGTGTCTCCCAACTGAGCTTTTTTGTTTGGATTTTGCCCAAGGCCTTTCCCTCAGCCTTCATTGTTAGTCCACAGAAAGCCAGAGAGGGTGTTTGAGATTCACTTTACTAATTCATGGCCTATCAAGAAGCTTTGTTTTCAACCCGACTGGCAGGTGCATTGGCAGTCGATTTGGAGCCTTGGCCGGTGCACTCCAGGGAATTAACAAAACCAAACCAAATAAAGCAAAAAAACCAAACAACAACAACAAAAACTTCCCTCAATTGTTTAAAAAACAAGATTTTGAAACTAATGGTGGAAATAGTTCCCAGTGTGGGCACAGCTGGTTACAATGGTAATGACACTAGCTTTCCTACGGGAGCAAATGTGTGCTTTCTGTGGTGTAGCTTTGGGCCGAGCCCCCATGTCTTTTGAGAGTTTTCTTCATATCTTCTTTGTTTTAATTTGCAATGGAAGCTGGTCTAGGGTACACAAACGGGAAGGGACTTTACTGTCTTCTTTCTTTCATGATGGGTGAAATTGCTGTTTCCCAAGTTTGAATTTTGGTCTAATGGTTCTTTTCCCCCTCAGGAGGAGTCTCAGTTTCATCCTGAGTTGTGTTAGGAAGAGGTGATTCCCATAGTTAACTGTGACTGGCAGGTTTCTTAGGTAGGAAGCCCCAGGTTGTTACAGTTCACTGAGAAGGTGCTTTTGACTTTTAGCGGAATGTAAATTAGCTTGGTTGTCGGTTGTATTAAAAAAAATCTCTTAAGCACTGCAAAAGTTTTTCTCTGAGGGGAAATTAAAGCTCAGATTGTGAAGCAGGAGGTGCACTTGTTCGTTGCTTTGTGGTGTAGGAAAACTTTACCTTGCATGTCTTAGGACCCTACCTTTCAAATAAGGCAATCCATAGCTTCCAAAAGGTTATTTTGTCAAGTGTAATTTTAATTTGATTTTTGTGACCTCTAAGTTGAGCTGCAAGCTTAATCAAACAAACATAATCCCTAAACGCGTGCATATTTCTGAATTGAATTCTTTTACCTGGTTCAATGTTGAGAGAGTAGCTGTCTATTTCCAGATGGAGCTGTTGGGCTGCAACAGAACAGAAATCCTCCAGGACCCGGTGCACGGCCTTGGTGAGGTTGTATGGCACCGACTTAGCAAACCTCATCTTGCTATTCACAATCACACTCCCATTTCTGAAGTTAAGTATTTCAAGTTGCTTAAATCCTGTAAGATTAGATCGCAGATATGGAACCAGCTGCAAAATAAACGATGGTTGGTTTACTCTTAAGTGTGTTCTAAGAGCTCAGCCGCTGCTAATTCCATTTATACTCACTTTTCATTATCTGAGGCATAAATTTCCATTTATTTGTTTATTTTTGTGTGCTTGGATTTAATGTGAGACCAGAACACCACCACTTAGTGATCTATTTGCAGTGATTATGTCCCATATTTTCACCTTTCTCTCTGTGTATTGAGATGGATGGGCAGTAGTTTTGTTCATAATGAATTGTGAGAACAGAGGATTTTAAAAATCCAGGCAAATGCTATCAGCAAAGCAGGGATGCCAGGTTGTTTTTCATTTTTGTTTTTAAATCCAAGTAAATAAAAACATGTTCCAAAATGAGCTCAGAAGCAAACTTCCCTACGCCTGTGTAAATGGGACATCTATTTGGAAGCAACCAACTTGAACTGACCCATTGAAATAAGCAACAGTTTAAACACCGCTTCTGTTTATGAAGAGTACGTTTCACCGTCAACACAAGCTCGCTGCGGTGGAAACAGCAGGAACTGGCAGCCAGGCCTGGAACTGTTCCTAACGAGCTGCGTGACCTTCAGTGAGACACTTAGCCACTGCGTTGTACCTCAGCATCCTTATCTGAACTGTGAGGGAGAAGAAAAGGTGGTTCCCTAAGGACCTTTCCCAACTTATAATGTAATAATATCAAAAGTATGCCCCAGGGCACTGTGCTTCAGGCTCCCGCATCTGCCTCCTGTGGGCCATAGCCATCCTTGAGATCTCTTTTCAGAAATGTTTGAAACTCGGTCAAGTCTGCCTTGCTCCTGGCCCTGTACATGAGCCACTCACTCATGCACTGACACCTATGAGTCCGGGGAGCACACAGGTGCAAGCTGCAACCTCCCAGGCTTGGCCCAGACCAGCTTTTATTTCTTCCCTGTCTCCACCCTACCAGAATTTTGACTCTGACCCTGACCCACGTTCCTGTACATCCCCCTTGCCCTCACAGTCATCGTGAAAATAAAAAAATAAAATACAGTTTTACACAGAGCTTAAAACTTCATTTTCCCATCTACACTCCCATGATTTTGCCTACCTACTTTGAACTCGTTCTGCGTGTCTTAGCATTGCTTTGGATTCAGGTGGGAATTCCCTGTCTTCGCCTACTGTGCAATGACTAGCTGCTTCTTTCTCCAAAATCCATTCTCCTCTTTTTCATGAAAAAGATGCTGCCTAGCTAGAGACCACATTTCCCGGTCTCCCTTGCCAGCAAGGTGTGACCAATGGAATATGAATGGAAGAGATGTGGGCAACTTTGGTATCATTTGCTTAGGAATTCTTTGCCTTGGGCTTTCTCTCTCTCCCCTTCTCACAAGTGGAAGCAGGGTAGTGACCCAGCTTTGACTGTGTGAATGAGGAAACACCCCCAATTGGGGTTGGCAGAGTTACAAGACATAAGGAATATAGGTTCCTGCATGACACTGTTGAGTGGGGCTGTCCCACCCAAGTGAAAGAGAAATGAACTTGTATCTTATTTAAGTGACTATATTCTTGATCTCTTCATTATGGCAGCTTAGCATGTGCCCAAATTAATATACCAGGGTTAGGTCCACTGGGAATCCATTCCTTGAGATTGTCCCAATTATCTACTCACCTCATTGTGAGTGGTGGTGGGGGAGGGGGGGGAAAATTGCACAAAGTCTTCCTTTAAAGTTCATTTGAAGAATTAGTTTTATGTAGTTTTAATTTATATAATAATTTATATGAAGCTTACAAATATTTATCCTGTTATTTTCAGAAATTCTGTACTCTGTGATATGCACTGTGTACTTGGCTTTAATTGGCATTTTGTGCAGAGGTATCACATGGCTCAGCATTTCTTACTGTACAGGCATTTCTTATCGCGCACATAGAAACAAAACAAATGTGGGTTTGGAAGGTGTTTTATAATCAAAGATATATGCCATCATGATAATCTTCTCATTGGCTTTGTTAGGAATCAGGAATGATAAGCCATTTAATCATTTTTCAGTTTTAAAAAAACTTAAGGGGAACTAAAAAAGAGTCATCTGTGCTGGACCTTTCGAGCTTTGAACCCTTTGGTGGCTCAAAACAGCGACATTATAACTTAGGAAAAATCTGCTCATACTGCTTTTAAATCTCAAGTTCAGAACTTGAGTGGTTATGTATTATTCTTGGGAAAACTAAATTAGGAAGAACTATAATGAAAAGATCTTAAGTATAAATTTGTTCCCAGGAGGTTGAGTGGCAGTGCCTGCTCATATGTTCACCAGAGAACTCACTTGCCTGTTGGATCCGAATCCATCTCAACACTCTAGTTAAATGCCTTCAGCAGCACTCTCTTCTAACCTGCATTGCTCAAGACAGCCAGTGATTATATTATAAAGTAACAACAGAAAAAAAGAAGAGACACACAGAGGGTTGTAAGTAGTGCCCACTCACCAACTGTGTGAATCTTTGCTCCAGAGCTTGGTACTCCAGAGAGCTCTTGTTGAACAGGTCGTTGGAGAAGGGCATGTTAGCGACACGCAGACTGAAGAACACCACCAGCTCTCCGCCCTTGGCAGCTATGGTCATAGAGCTAGTGGTGATATACTGTAAAGCTGGAAGAGGAGTGGCATTCTTCAAGAAACGGTCTGGCATGGAAACATATCCACTGAATCCTGATACCTCAGAGGAGGCAGGAGTGTTAGATAGATCCATTTCATTTAAGCCTTGGACTATATCTTGGTTGCCTGGACTCAACCTGTTATCTTCTGAAGATGCGGGCAAATGTGAAATTTCCAAAGCCGGTTGCCTGATCGCAGAATAATCATCAGTGGGGATGGTTAGTCCTGGGATTAGCAGTGTCTGGTCAATGGATGTTATGTCTGTGGCACTTTGATCAGTCAGAGAGAAGATGCTTGATGCAGTAAAGAAAGGTAGAGTTTCTGATAGGGTAGTAGAGGCCATAGCAGGTGGAGACAAAGAGCTGTCCATGTTGAAGGCTCCTGATATCAAGTCATTACATCCAAGCATTCCCCCAAAGAATAGAAAGAAAGAAAAATATCCATAGTTAAACTTAAAACAAACAAACATTTACATTGATTATTTTAATGTCATAATTTGAAAAATAAGAAATTGGTACAGAAAAGGCAGGCAATCCTGTGTTTAAACCTAGAGAGACAGAGGGTAGGTCCTGAATCCATTTTCTTCAGGCCTTCTTTTTTTTTTAAAATATATCTTTATTGATTTCAGAGAGAGGAAAGAAGAGGGAGAGAGAGAGATAGAAACATCAATGATGAGAGAGTCATTGATCGGCTGCTCCCTGCACGTCCCCAACTAGGGATGGAGCCCGCAACCCGGGCATGTGCCCTGATCAGGAATCGAACCCCGATCACCTGGATCTTTCTTTCTTTCTTTTTTTTTTTTTTTTGCCCAATACATCTTTATGTATGAGACTAAAAGATTTCCAATTACCTAGAGTTCCTGGAATTACACTCAGCCAGAGACAGCACATCTAGGAACCAAGTGGTAAAAGCTGACTAGGTCACCAGGTGGTGCCAAACCACAGATGGCATTGAATAGATTTGGATCCCACATCCGCACCTGGAATTCCATCAACTAGCTGTGCAGTTTTGGCCCAGAAATTTTATTTACCTTCCAATCATGCAAACCTGTATTTTCTTCAGTTGTACTTTTTTGGGATTCCAGTTATCATATTTTGGTAGTTTTAGCAATTAAAATTTAAATTATGCTTTTCAAAAATTGTATAATCTGACTGAATAGCTTGCTAATTTGCAAAATGATATTGAGAGAATAAAGGTGTGGGTTACACATATAATTTGAACTTTATATTCACCATACAACTTGCTAAATGTTTTATAATATTTAAAGATTTTGTCACTTTTCCAGGATTTGTACCTTGATATTTTCTACCACCATTTTGCATTGTTTTCTTAGGTAAGTACACATTGAACTACTGAAGTCTACTCTCATTTTTGTGTTAAATTAAAATCAATAAGTGTTTATGAAAAGTGGTTAAAGGAAACTATCAGATAAAAAGATTGGTGAGTTATTAAAGTATTCCAATAAACCTAAATCTAGAGCCACCGACAATATTTAAGGCATTAGAAAGATCAAAACAGGGAGCTTTCTGTGATTACTTCAGTGGTTTTGGCAAATATGTGGGAGAGCTGTACTGAAATCTAAGTGCTAAACATGATGAATGAACTGTCTGGATGCAGATATAATCTTTGGACTCTCAGTCAGCTAATTTACTAGAGTGCAATCACCCAAACTGAAATTCCAAGTGATAAACAACTCCAAGAGGTGGACTCATATTAGTTTTGCTAGTTTCTTAAAATGAAACCTGCCTGCTGATGAATTGTACACACATTTCAGAGAAGCACCCTCTTTTCTTGCACCTGGGAAGGGCGCTTAGGTGTGCCTACACATAATTCAGTCAACTGTCAGAAATGATGTTTCCTAACATCCAAGATCTCTCTGGATATACAATGTAGTTTTATTTAAACCTCCAGTGTCATGAGCTGAATGTTTGTATCCTTCCCCCAAACTCATATGATGAAACCCTAATCTCCAGTGTGATAGTATTTGGAGGTGAAGTCTTTGGGAGGTAATTAGGTCATGAGGGTGGAGCCCTCATTAATGGGATTAGTGCCTCTGTAAGAACAGTCGTAAGAGAGATCATCTCTTTCTGTCTCTCAGTCTCTCTCTCTGCCATGTGAGGATACAGCAAGAAGGCATCAGTCTGAAAACCAGAAAGAAGGCTCTAACCAGGAACCAAATCAGCCAGCAAGTTGATCTTGAACTTCTCAGCCTTCAGAACTGTGAGAAGTAAATTTCTATAGAAGCCACCAAGTCTATTGTATTTTGTTATGGCAGCCAGAGCTGACTAAGGCATCTATGGTAGGATCTAGGATGAGTAAAATGAAAGGCTTCAGGTGTTATCAATGATTGGGGTTGACTTCTTTGTGTCATGGGAAATTCATGTGCATTGGTGTTCCTGTGATGTGATCTCTGTGCACCTCCAGATGATAAGCACAGTGACAGATGTCTTTGTTCTGCTTCTGGGCCAGCATCTCATTACTCATACCTTTCTCGCTATATAGACTTTAGTCAGATTAAACTAGGTCCTTATATTGTCATGAACCAATAAAAATGAATTGGCAATAAGAACAAAGAAAACTAAACAAATGAAAAAAATTGAAGAAAACATTAACTCCAGGAAAACAAAAAGGAAACAGTTAGAGCAAATAGGTCAACTGTGATCTATAATGTAAACACTGAATATTGATTTAACAATAGTTATCACCATATTGAGAGGGGATAGTATTATAAGAAATTTTAATTCTTATTTAAAATAATAAAAAGTCAGTAAATAATATAGAAGACTGACACAAACAATAGTGTGGTGAAGGCCTGAAGTGGGGGGTGGAAGGGGTCAAAGGGGAAAAAAGATGACATTTGTAATATTTTCAACAATAAAGATAAATTAAAAATAAATAAATAAAAGAAAAATAATAATATGGAAGACTGATGACTCAAAAGATATACATTATTTAAAAATATGGGAAGGGCAAATACCAGAAGAACTAGCTAATGGGGTCAAAAGGGACTACTTTTGGTAAGTGGGGCTACACAGTAGGGAGGTGTGAGATCACAAAATGCTGTATTTGTCAGAACACTTTAATATAATTTGACTTTCAAAAAAATTAAACTTTTTATTTTGACACAATTGTATATTCATATGTAGTTCTGAGAAGTAATAGAGAGGGGCATCAATGAAAATGGCAGAGTAAGCAACTCCAAAAGTCAAGTTATCCTTCTTATTTGAAAGTTACAGGTAGTAAGTAGCTCTGGAGTAATAAGAAATATATACAGGGTGGGGCAAATGTAGGTTTACAGTTGTTTGTATGGAAAATAATACAGTAATAAATAAATAATAATGTAAGAATAAACTGTTTCCTATACTCACAACTGTAAACCTACGGTTGCCCCGCCCTGTATTTGGTCGTTGGCTTCAGCTCCTAAATTTCTGACCCTTGGGCAGTAACTGCGAAACTATGCGGCCAAACCCATTCCAGGGAGAAACTGGGAGCTGTGCATTTTTTTTTTTAATATATCTTTATTGATTTCACAGGTAGGAAAGGAGAGGGAGAGAGAGAGAGATAGAAACATCAATGATGAGAGAGTCATTGATTGGCTGCCTCCTGCACACCCTCGACTGGGGATCAAGCCCGAAACCTGGGCATGTGCCCTGACCGGGAATCGAACCCTGATCGCCTGGATCCTAGGTCGACGCTCAACCGCTGAGCCACGCCCCGCCGGGCGAGCTGTGCATTTTTGCCTGCTCCCTCTGTGCCGGGCCTGGGGCATGGCCGTGGGAAGTGCCTGTATGTCCATTTGTAACCGCTTCTGTGTTTTCTGTGGTTCCAGAGGACTTGTGAATGCTGAGCCCTACTGGTTCTCAGAGCTGGGCGATTTGGAGCCAGTCCCTTAGGTGGTGGCATAGAAGTTGGGAACCCCCAATTTACAGTTGATTGATCATAAGTACAAGTGACAGCCTGGAACTTGTGACCGACAACTGAAGTGAGAGAGACAGTCTTGTAGAACTGAGCTCTTTACCTGTGAGGTCTGTGCCAACTCCAGGTAGTTAGTGTCATAACTGAATTGTAGGACACCCAGTTGGTGTCTAAAGAACTGGAAAATTGGTTGCTATGGAAAAAACACAACCCCCCCCCCAAGCCAACTCTACACATCTGATATCAGAAGTGCTGTGAATAGAGAAAGAGTTTCCCTTTTAGTAGCCAAGCCCTCAGGAGCTTTGGCACCCGTGAGCGGTTATTGAAACAATTATCTAATGATAGATTCCAGCTGACTGGAAGCTAAATCAAAACAGAGGCCTCCGGAATGTACAAGCTGTGGCAGAGGGTTTGAGAGTGAGCCCTAAATCGATTTAAAGGTGGAAATCTGTCCAAGAATCTGAAGAGGTTATGGTTGCAGATCCAATTTCAAATTTATAAACCTTGACAATGGTAAAACACTCACCTAATTACCAAAACTTGGGGTGTGGGAGCGTGAAGACGGTTGAATTATGAGTTTCTGATAGTTTTACCTTCCATAGCAGTACATCAAAAATGCTGCCTAATGTTGGTACATACGGTGTAAATGACAATGCCTCCCCATTAAACTTTTACGTAATCTTTCTTAGTAGCCTTTAGGGATCTTTTAAGAAGGAATATCTCATGAAGTGAGGAAATATTTATCTGAAAATCAGCAATTTCTTGAGTGCCATTACAGTTTCTTTTTCAACTGTTAAAAACCAAGTGAAACTTCATGTAATCCATTTTTTAGAATGGCATTACAGAAAATGTCTGTGTTTATAAAAGTGCTTCTATTCTCCATCCTTTAACATTTTAAGTAATGGGCATATATTATTAAAAAATAATGATAATTACTATTAAAAAAAGACAATTATTTAGTCACTTAACATAAATATATATTTTTTGATGGGGGCATAAAATCTGAGGTTGCTGAAATCTCAAATGTTACCTCTTCTGCTCCATGAAATACATAAATACACATTACACAAATTTACATTCACATAAATATACATTTAAAAGTTTTCTCATAGATGTCATTTTTAGATTTTTGTAAACTTCAGATAAAAAATAGCTCCTTGGATGTCTGGAATAAATGGACAATTTCAAATGTATTGACATATTAAGTAAAGGTCTTAAGCAGAACCATCACAGAAGCAAAAATATCTTCTACCAAATCTTTATTATTAGTAGTAACATTAAAATAACACCTGGATTAAACTGAAACTGGTAAGAAACTTACTTCCTAAGCCCTGGAGGACTTCATTGTGCTTTCTTACTATTTTAGTTGGATATTTCAATGAGGTTATAGCCTCAAAAATCTAGCCTTAGAATTTTGAGAGGCTAGATTGAGGATGAGATGGAAAAA